GAGGAACCAGAACCCTGGAGAATAAAACAGGAGGAACCAGAACCCTGCAGAATAAAACAGGAGGAACAAGGAGGTTGGTGTTTATTCTTCATTCATCTTTAATGACTCTTTGTGGTACATTAGGGTTACAAAGCTTTAATAATACTGACAGTTATAAAGTTTCAAGCAGTTTTAGATTTAGTTTGTTGTAATAGAAACAATCTTTAGAGCTGTTGAATAATAATTTAGATGGATCAGCAAACAATAAATGTATGTTAGATAATTGTGTGGTTGATCAAACATTTAATAGTTCTCTCTATAAACATGGTATTTGTCTATAATGTCTTAAAAATTATATTTTGAAGATCAATGTACCTCTTCATGAAAAGTTTCAGGGATGTATAATTTATAAAATTGCATCAAAAAGAACAAAATTTTGTACAGAAATTGCCTTTACACTGTTACATCAGGGTTCACTTTTATGTCCTTTCACATTTCAGTTTTTTTTCCCACGTTACTGACAAATTAACTGATTTTGTTTTTATTTTAGAAGGAAATGAGGAGAATAAAGAATTGAGTGACGTTGAGGAGAAAAATCATGTCAAAACCAGAGAAAACCCTTGGAGTTGCTCTCAAACCAAACAGAAAGATTTAAAGAAAAGAAGAGCCAAGAAATCTTTCAGCAACACTCAGTGTGGAAAGAGTTTGACAAGCAAACATAGTATTGATGTTCACATGAGAGTTCACACTGGAGAGAAACTGTTGAAGTGTTCACACTGTGACAAGAGATTCAATCATTCAGGAATCCTGAAAAGACACGAGAGGATCCACTCTGGAGAGAAACCGCACAAGTGTGATCAGTGCGGGAAGAGATTCACACAAAAAGGACACCTTAAGAGGCACATAAACGTTCATACTGGAGAAAAGCCATTCACTTGTGATCAGTGCGGGAAGAATTTCACACAATCAGCACATCTTAAATATCACATGACCATCCACACTGGAGAGAAGCTGTACACATGTGATCAATGTGGCAAATCATTTTTGAGGGCATCATACCTGAAGAAACACATGAGAGTTCATACAAAGCAGAAGCTGCATTTATGTTATTTGTGTGGAAAGAGTTTTTCACGTCTACAAATTTTGAAAGAACATCAGAAAACACACACTGGTGTGAGAGACTACATGTGCTTTGATTGTGAAAAGACTTTTACTTCAGTGAACAATTTGAAACAGCATGAGAGGATCCACACTGGAGAGAAACCTTATTTGTGTTCACACTGTGACAAGGGATTCAGTCAGGCAGCACATCTGAAAAGGCATAAGAGGATTCACACTGGAGAAAAACCTTATGAGTGTTCACACTGTGACAAGGGATTCAGTCAGGCAGCATATCTGAAAACACACGAGAGGATTCACACTGGAGAGAAACCGTATCACTGCACTGCATGTGGGAAGTGTTTCAATAATTCATCTGCTCTACACAGACATACAAAAAACATTCACAGTAAGTAGATTATCTTCAGATCAGCACTTTCAGGTCTGATGCTGCGTCCTCACACAAATGAGACACAATAATGCATTAAACAATAAAATATCATCCGGATAAATCTGTCCTAACCAGTCATTACAAGTGACATGACAAAGAAACATTATCTAAAGTTTCACAGTGAATAAAGTTCATCTTCATCTTCAAAACCAGCAGATTCAACTGTGAGATTCAGCTCAACTCAAAGATGGAGTTCCTCCCAAAGAACAATGTCAGAAAGTTTTATTCTTGTATATCATTGCTTTCATATAAGTTTCATATTATGTTCAATTGTCTTATAGTGCATGTGTAACCACCTGTAGTTTGCTTACTCTTTCATGAAGGAAAGTAGAAGCTTTTTACAAACTGTTCTTGTTCAGGAAGCTGGAGAAGAGGCTGTAACACTTTTACGAAAGACAGATTTCATTTTAATTTGTTCTTCACTGTTGTTTTTAAAATGACTGAGTTATTCTTCCACTTAAGATGTATTTAGGAAACGCAGATGCAAGAAATACTGCCATGTAGCTTTGTGACTGATCTTTCTTTGCTTCTCTTGTATTAAATAAAAAATAAGTATCATATTCATTACAGTAGCAAACATAATATGAACATGATGAACATCAGATGGACGAGATCCTCAACAAATGTATTACAAATGACAAAGTGCTTATTCTGAAATCTGAATAAAATTTTGTGCATATACCTTAATTCATCTTGTACAATTATTCACCGTTTATGTAATTATGTTGTTATATTGTTTTTATTTGTAACCGCAAATGTTTCAAAAATGATTTTATTAACATAATGGATTTGGAAGAAGTTAATGATTTAAATGTTGGTTAAATTAATAATTAATATATACATAACATTTTACGCCTATGGAAACATGCGTCTGAAATAGATGTAGCTCAATCAGAACATACAGAAAAAATAAACACATCGTAACATCATTGAAAGAAGTAACGCTGACAATATACGGTATGGACTTAAAAGGATAGTTCACCCAAAAAAAGAAAGTTCTCCCATTAATTGCTCACCCTCATGTCATTCCAAGACCTTCGTTAATCATTGGAACACAAATTAAGATATTTTTGATGAAATCCGAGAGTTTTCTGACCCTTCATAGACAGCAAGGGTCCTACCAATTTCAAGGCTTTCATCGTTAAAGTCCATGTGACATGAGTGGTTCAACCGTAATGTCATGAAGCTAAGAGAATACTTTTTGTGCCTGAAGAGAACAAAAATAGAGACTTTATTCAACAATTTCTTCTCTCCCGGTGTTACGGTTAACTGGTGACTGTGTTATCAGGTGACCTTCTTCCGGTTTCAGGTCCTCCGCTGCAAGGCAAGTTTA